AATGCAGGATGTTTCCCTTGAAATATGGTTATTTGAGGTTTCCCAAATTTCAGGACTTGTGAATACTGCTGGTAATGAGTATGCAGCAAGGCTTGGCAACTAAAGGGAGTGCTGGATGACCACAGAAGAAAGCACTGAAACCCTGTTATAGAAGAGGATCAACGGTTTCTTCTCCAAGAGGCAGCCAGCTTAATTATCTTGCATAGCTAGCGGCACCACCACTGCTATCCAACACCTCCTGATTTGCCGGATAGCTTGTCCTTGCTAGGTGCTGTGGTTCCTCATGCGGGCCCCTAGCTGAATCTGCGGCTAGGAAGTTTTGGTTAGCAGTGGTGCTGCTAGCTCTGTGCGAGTATGAAGAATGGACTTGCTATCTACAGTGAAGTATGCATCCTCTTCTATAACAGGGTGCAGCTGTCTGAATTGTATTGGAGAAGTGACAGGGTTGCTTCAAAGCCCTGGTGCCAAACCAGTAGCCCACATCTGCACCCTGCTGTATTCTGGGCTGGGTCCATCGCCTGAAGCACTGACACAGATTCTTACATGTTGGACAGCTATTATGAGGTCATGCGAGTCATGTGGTGTTGAGAACACATACAAGACAGGTGTCATTTCCGCCCTGCTAATAGAGTGTTGGCGATTTTTTTTTTTTAAGAAACCTTGCAGTGGGGCTACCCCTGCACTGCAAGGGTTAACTGCTTTGTTTCTAGGTTAAAAAGAAAAACATAGATATACATATATATGTATTCACTCAAAGATCTGAGCCGGCTTCTTAGTTCGGTCCTTCCAATGTCTCTCCCTCCTCCTCTGCAGAGGTCCCAGGTTCTGTAAATTTAACATCTATACATAGTCTTTAGATGTGAGAACACTAAGGAAGATTACAATGCAGCAGGTAGGAGAAGGAAACAGGCTGAAGGGAGCGCTGTGACAGGTGGCCGGACCGGAGCTTTGGGTGAGTATATCTTTGTTATTTCAGCACCTAGACACACACGAGCAGGTGAAATAAATTCCTGAAAGAAAATGGGAATACAGTTAAGTTTTAATGTATTGCTCATTAATGTAACACTACACTCGTTTTATTGCTTTATTAACCACTTGAGAGATGCCATTTAAAACAATGTCCAGACTCCGCATGTCCTGGCAGGATTCATACTGAGACTGCTGTCAGTGACAACCCGGTCTAGCACTAAATTGATTGCACACCAAAACAGCACAGCAAAACACAATGCTTCCGCATGGTGTTTGCATGTGTAAGTGCCATGAAATCATCTGACACCATGGGCATTTCTGTCATTCTAGCATGCCGGCATTTGTATCCGGCCTGTCCACCCTTTTAGCAATCGCTAATGTGTAAAAAAAAAAAAGTGTAAAAAAAATTAAACTGATTATAAAACTATTCGCTCTCCATATCAACTATTTGCATAGCATGTTCATAGTTTTGCATAAGTACCAAGCCTAATGCAGTGTTGCAGCACATGAGTTGGGTCCAGCACTAAATCGATCAGCTTCTGGGCTTGCTAACCTCCTATAAAGCACTCAATAGCAGCAAAGCAGAACACAATGCTTCAGTATGTTTAAAGGGTTATTGTTATGAAATCATCTGTAGCATGGTCACTTCTGTCATTCTAGCCTGCCTGTACATCATGTCTGCCCTATCTGGCCTTTTAGAAACCGATCACTGCAATAACAATTTTGTTGCTTGCTGATTATTATTAGTGATCCCACCCCCTATGATAAAACTTACAACAAATTGTTCAAGAAAAAAGCAATTTCCATAAAATGATTTTTTTTAAAAAGGCCCTTTCCCTGTTAATCCCTAGTATTGTCTATTTTTCTATACATATATGCAGCAGGCAGCGTGGCGTCTGCCACGTCTAACCGTTTGTAGATTACCAGAGGTGAGTGCTAAGAAGCTTAAACTGATTCAGCAATCTTTTCGCTTATTAAAAATATGTTGTGAAAATGAAAAATTAGGTTTGTCTATTTTTTTAATTTTATTTCAGTTTATTTTTAGTTGGTGTACAATGTGACTTCCCGATTCCAGCATTTTAAGAGTTAATACTAAGGGAGTCCACACCTTCCTTTACTGTACTGTGCTAAGCCTGTATCTATTCCATATTTTATGCATCTGCTCTGGTTCAAAGACATTGCCTTTTGAAATGCTGACAGATCTTTTCACTGCACTACTACTTGGTAATCTGTAGTCTAGTGGAATGTTTCTGTTCTAACTTGGGACATTGGCCATAAAAGGAGCACATTTCTTTTTTTTAATTAGGCAGCTCGCTTATAGACTTGTATCAAGACAAGGAGCAGTAAAATCCACTGGGTAGCACTGTATTAAGCAGTGCCTATGCACACAAAAACTAGCTAGATGTATATGTGGAAGTGTGTATGTGTAATATCCTTTTTACAAGGCTATTCATAGCAATAGAAACTTGCTTTTAATACTCTTTAACACTCATTCATATTTACATTATATCTGAAAACAATTGAAATGACTATGCATTTACCTAAAGTGTATGTCCAGGCCATATTGGTTTTAGGTTTTAATGTTGGGCAGAGTGAGCTAAGGAGATTTTCTCTCCTTTCTGTCCCAGTGACTAAAACCATCCCTTCAATGAGACGGCCTGAGGCTATTGCCTAAAGCTGCGTCCCTTTGGGTCACATGGGGGGGCGGCAGGCAGTGCAGCATGTTTGTATAGTGGCCACTCTTCTGCCATTGCCGTCCCCTTTCTGTCCAGAGCATGTCAAGTTGCTAAGAACTGGGCCATACGTATCTGCCTACCCAGGTTTTAGCATCCTGGGATGCTCTGGCCATCATCCCGTCCAGCTCCTGGCAACCAGTGATGTCACTGGTTGCCAAGAGCTGGGCGGGAGTAGTGCTACTGCAAGGGGGCATGGTTGTCCCAGGTCTGCAGAGGGTGGCGTCATTTGTTATGCACCACCACCTCCCCTGCCCCATAGGTGGCACAAAGTCTAGGGACACCACTGGTGGGGACTATGGTTTTAGTAGATAGGAAGTAAGGGTAAATATACAAAAAGGACACAGACCACAATACAAAGCTGACTTAGGTTAGCCTTCCCCTACTGTACTAAAAAAAAAGGAGGGGGTTATTTCGGTCTTGTCTGTTGGAGATTTCCATCACTTACTGTATGATGAAACTGTTCTTGTCATCACAGTAAATAAGGGGAAATCTCTCCAGGTAGCAGTTAAACCTGACATGGTTTCCTAACCCTTCCCCACTCGCTAATGCTCGCTAATGCTACTATGTATATGTTCACTTTAATGCATTTTAATTTGAATAACCGTGTCTGTCCAGCCAAACCTTGCAGCACTGGGGTAGGGCCACTGCAAGGGGCATTTTCTAATTTCACTGCAGGCAGGCTTTAGACTTCATTTACATTGAAAAAAGTAGTGCATGGGGTGGTGCGGGCAGGAGATATGTTTGGGTTGTGATTACCGCACAGACCTGGTGTGAACAGATCCCTAAACGATGCTTGTTTAGATGCATCTGGTATCAGATTCTAGCATCAAATTGTGTTTAAATGCATTTTGGTGCATTGCGATGTTCACATTGATTCCTGGATGCACCTGACTTCTATTTTTTTTTTGGAAAACTCAGATAAACTAACTGCTCATGCATGTAAACACAATGTGTGAATAGGTCATTGTAATTCATTAGATGCATATTTATGCCTTTACAAAAGCTTGTTAAATGCATATAAACACATCTAATCACACACAGTGTGAATGTGGGCTAAATAAAACTGAAAGACTGCTCATTTTCCTGTGCCCACCTTTATAGAGGGGTCTTTCCACTCTTGGAATCTTAAATATGCTTTTCTATAGTGAATATTTTAGTTTCATATCTGCCTCTAGATAGGCAGAGCCAGCTGCCACTCACACAGCTGGACGGATCCAGACGTAATTGTCGGGATCTGCTTCAGCTGCGGCGTCCCGCTATACCGCGAGCTGTAGCTCGCGGTATACTGCGGCGTCTCTGTATACCGCGAGCTGTAGCTCGCGGTATACTGAGCTTAGGGTGACGGGAGGACGCTAGTTTGTGTCCTCCCGTTACCCTAAGGAGATCTATGGGGAAAAGCCCTAACCCCATAGTTCTCCTTTTTAATGTAACAGTTTTTTAAAATCCCAGATTTTTCCATAAATGCTCAGGCATTGTTTGTATACTTGTTAGGAGTGAAAACTTATTGGAATCCTACTTAAACTGGCTTGCAGTAAAAATAGTGCTAGTGTTATGCATGCTGATTTGAGGTCGGCGTGTAGTTGTAAATTATTTGCATAATATGTTCTGTCATAGTTTTGCATAACTACCAAATCCTGCTGCAGCCTGATAACCAGAACTTTCAGCACCATGGACAGCACTGTACTCTAGAACAACCTTTCTTCATGCGCCACATAAAAATCTTTTCAGTAACAATTTATAACCAGACTGTGTGCAAATGATTTGCTTGCTGAAAAAAAATAAACAAAGTTAAATCAAATGCATTAGATGTCAAGCACTTTATTTCTCGACATCATTGTATATACCTTGCTTAGAGGAGTTTGTATTCTAGGGATGCACCGATACCAGTGCAGATACTTGGCATTTTCATGAGAACTACCAGGTTTGCAGAAGTTGCAGCTGGGACCTGGCTCTGGTGCTCCACCAGAAATAATTAGTCGATATTGTTTTAGAAAAACTGTCACATGACAATAAACAAAATTGTATTGGTACTTGTATCTGTACTTGGGCAAGTATCAGTACTTGTACTTGCAAAACTGGCTTTGATGCATCCCTTTTATATAGGTTTATAAAAACAAAATCATACATTAAAACAGATGTACAAATCCCAGGAGCTCCGTGTGCTCCTTACAAATCACAGCTGCCTTCTAACTTTTGATTTTTTCTCTAGTCTAGCCTTGGAGCTCAAAGTATCTGTACATGTACTTGTACAGAGTGCGGTACATCCCTAATTTATACACACATGGTGGTCATAAGGAAATGTAAAGGTAAAGTCCACTTTTTGGAAAACAAAATACACACTTCATAAAAGAAAAAAAATGTGCATTTATTTTTCTGCATTGGAGCCAGTAAAGCATTGCAACCATGATCAGGGGATCGTGAGTGCAGTGGTCTGGCTCCTGCAGACTCTTCCTCTCATGTCCGTACCTCGGTACAGATATTCAGTGACATGGAAGGGAGGAAGAATGAAGGGGACTACAAGTGTGGTGATGTCATCACACTTCCATTAAGAAGTACAAGTACCTCTCCTGCGGTGGCTGATGGGACTTTAGTTTCTCCATTCACAAATGGTGTCAAAGGATCTGTGACTGGTTGTCGTGGACACAGCCCTGTACAGCCACACCAAATTCAAAATTAAGCAGCAGCCTGTGGGCAGAAGAACCCTACGATTCAGGTAAGCAGGGGGGTTTCCATGTGACCCTGAATATTGGTGTAACATGAGTCATGGTCCAAAAGGTGAACTTTTAGGTGGACCTAGCATCAGATATATTTTCATGTGAAGTTCGTTCATGCATGCATGCTAAATCATTTGTTTGCAAAGTAACTATGTTAAACACATGTATTTATTACCACCAAGGGTTCATAGTATTCCAACAGACAATGCCTTTGCTTTACTCTCCAAAACAATAGTGAGCTCTTTGTGCAGGAATTAGATGCTGACCCTGGATAATGCCTGACCAGAGATGCTGACTCACATTACACAGTCATGTAAAATCTGGTGCCTGTGTACTTCTTGGCTGTGTACACCAGCGTTTCTCAACTTTCTTTCAGTCGCAATACCTTTTTAAAAGTATGCAAAATCTTAAGGCACCCCAGTGTAAAATGTAAAATCCCTGATAGACGTCTGCTATGGATTTTAAGGAGTGACCCCATGCAAAAAACACAAAGGAGTTCCCCCTTCACATTAAAGTACCCTGTTCAAATCAAGAGCTCCTCTTCACATCAGAGCCTACCTCTTAACATCAGAGCCCACCTTTTACATTCAGGAGCCCCCCTTTACATTAGGACCTGCCTCCTTTTTACATCAGAGTATCACCTCTCAAACTAGAAGCCCACCTTCACATCAGAAGCTCCCCCTTTTATATCCAAGTTCCCCCTTCACCTCAGAAGTCTGTCTGGACCATGGAAAGGTATAACCCTGTGTTAAAATTTTGAGTTCGGCTAACTAATCGATTTTGAAAATAATCGTTAGCTGCAGCTCTAGAGGCACCCCTGAGGAAGGCAGAAGGCACCTGTGTGCCATAGCACCATAGTTGAGAAAGGCTGATGTACACAAGTGTCTGACAGAGATCCATTCCAGCTGCTGCCTTTTACCTTATGACTACATAATGTTTTACTGTGATAGCTGGGGGAGCCTGCTTGCAGCAGACTGATATCTAAACTAGTCACTTGACTGGAGCTCAAGGGAGGGTTTTTTTAAAATATAAAGTAATTTTTGTATAGTGTGACATGTCAGGAATATATTTAGACTTGTAAAGTAAGTGAAAGCTCCACTTCATAACAGATATAGTGTGGAAACCATACACTGTGCTGAATGCACTTGATTCATTTGAGAACCTTTTGATGAATTTACTATATAAATCATCAGATGTAATGTGATGCAAGCTTCTAAAATTAGTTGACTGTATTGTTTTCTAATATATTTATCACCGTGTACTTTCTACTTTTTATGTTTGTCTTGTGGATGTGGAATATTATACTACTTTAAATCTTGACATATATATAAAGGGTGTAAAATTAGTCAAGTTTATTGCTATGTCTTTTTTTTTTTTTCCTTTTGTTGAATCCTATTCTACTACCTTCATTTTTATTAACAGTTCTTTTTTGTGTGTGCCCTGTGCTATTTATCCAAGGTACTGCCTGAATGACAAAGAACTTCCAATCAAATTTTTACAATTGGCCTACTATATTAAAACCAGCAGAAAGCAAATAAGTGTTGGCAATAAAGAAAAAAACAAACCACAATCCAGCTGTAATTTTTCTAACGTGGGTTAGAAAGCAAAAATGAGTCTGATTTGTAGCTGTAGGCAACATGCAGTAATTTTTAGAACATGGTTTAATTATATTGTGCTCCGTGTTTATATTACATATCCAGTGGAGAAACTACTCTGTTTTCTGTTAATGTTATTGGAAAGCTAGTTGGCATCATTATTTATTAATCCTGTACTCCTTTTGTGCTCTACCAATCTAAAAATCAGTGTGCAGCTATTAAAGCCTGGTTTTCCATGGAAGGCAGCATTGTTATACTAGCAATTTAAGTGATCATATAAGGTTAATGAAAAGAGCAAGCGTAACTGGTATATCTAGGTTTAGAAAATGTATACATATTTTATTATGCTCATTGAAGTCAAGACAATGAGAGGGTTGCCATGTCCTGCGCTGGTGGTATAAACCGTATAAATATTTCAGTTACCCACTACTGTGAGATTCCTAAATGCAAAGCTCGCTATTCGTCTGCCAGTTTAATGTGTCTGATTTTAGCGCCCTCGGGACACAAACCTTTGATTCATTCTGTGCAATTTCAGGCTGCCGTTGCCCCTGCCCGGTTTAGGAAATCGTGTTGGAGGCAGATATTGTTACTCCTGATCGAGAAATGAAAATGAAGTGAAGTCAGGCGCTTGCCTTAGGACACAACGAAAGCGTTTCTACAGCAATCTAAAGATAGTTAACTGCTGTCAATAAATTTTGAAGAAGGCATGGTGTGGTTATTCTGCTTAAATAAAGAATCGTAAAACTCTGTGCCTGACATTGTGACTTCTCAGTAATTTCCCTTCGTGCTTTACAGTTGAACATCATGTTCACTCCTCTGGACTGTGCCGATAAAGAGAATGTGGATGGCTGTTATAATGGAAAAAGGTAATACAGTAACAGTAAAGCTCTGCTCACCCTTTTGTATGGTAACAAATGATTGGGCCTGTCCAGGAGCCCAAGCTTTCCCTTACATGGTGGCCTGTGATCATTTTGTAGGGAAGAGGTTGATGACTGAATAGTGTCTCTTCCCATCTCTGTATTGTAGTGCAGGGGGTTTTGAAACAAACGACATGTCTGGGGTTTTTTTTTTTTTGCATTGGAAGGCCCATTGAAATAATTAGCAATTAATTAACGTTTTCATGCGATGGCAACAGGCATTAACGAGCCTTTTTTAATAACTCTGATACTAAATTCAAAAATGCATTGGTGTCAATAACGCATGTCCAGCACAAAGGAAATCGACCGATGAGCTGTTTCATGGGGAGCACAGTAGCTTCTTGGTTAGCACTTGTCTTGCAGCAATTGAATCCTTGGTTTGCATCTCAGCCAGGACACTATCTGCATGGAGTTTAAATGTTCTCCTGGTGCTTGTGTGGGTTTCCTTACGGTTTCCTCATATGCCATTAAGTTATTTGGCTGTTGTCTAAATTGGTGCTAGTATGTGTGTAGGTCTTAAATTTTTGTTTGTACTGTGGAAAACCCTTTCATGTAAACCTTACTTTGTGCGGTTGTCATATTTTGTTTTGCTGGTCTAAAAATCTCAACTGCAGCCTCCAATGGCAGACCCTACTGGTATTGTTGCGTGGCTTTGAAATTCTTATTAGACATGGAGCCACAGAAAAGTAAGGTTCTGAGGTTAGAAGTGCACCAAAGATTGCGACATGGTCATGGTATTAGGGATGGGGGAATGGATTCATTTGTTTCCCTAAAGACAAGGATATATTTCCTAGAACACATTCCCTAAACCACACACAAAATGTGGCCAACCCCCAGGACAAGAGTGGGCAAATCTTCTACGGTCTGTCCCTATTGGTAAAAGATCTGCTCAGCTGTGAGGGGGGGAGGGGTGCTGTATCCATGGCACAGTCAGCTGTCAGTGTGCAGACCTCTAGGGACCCTCCCATTAGGGTTGCCACCTTTCCGGGATTGACCCGGACAGTCTGTGTTTAGAAGGCTGCGTCCAGGTTACACAGCCCACCTTGGAGCCCGCACAACCCAACAGAGTGTGCACAGCCTGGTGAGAGCCTGCACAAGCCACTTGAGACCCTAGAGACAGGCTGCCACCCCGGAGCAACACACAGTATGTAGTTTCATATAATTTTGTATTGCTTCATTATGTCTTGCTGGGATTTGTAGTCCTCTATAGAGCTAGAGTGCTCAGGTTTCAGTTGAAGAAAAGTTGGCCTCCCTAGGGCTGCCTGCAAAGAAAAGGGTTAACACTATAGGTTTGAACTCCTTTTTTTCAACCAGACTATATAACTTGTCTCATTTAGTAATTTTTGCTCTGTTGCAGAGCTAAGCTAGTTGAAAAATCTTTTGCATGTACACACTTCCAAGGATGTTGGATCCCTGTCCCCCCTCCCCAATGCATGCTGTGGTTTTATCCACTGGCTGCTACAAAGCACAACGGTCCATAGAAATCTGCTTTTGTGCTTGCCTGTATGTGGCCTAAAGTACTTGTTGGGACCATTTCCTTATTTTGGAATTATAAATTGGAACTATTTCCTTTTTTTTTTGTTTTGCTTCATAATCATTATAGATGGAAAAATCCAGCAAGGGTTCTGAAAAGAGGCTTCAGGAAGATTGAACCCATCTTTTCTTTCCATCATATTTGTCTGAAGAGTTGAAATGTAGTCATGCCTCTAAGTCAGACTGCATGCTACATCCAATATTGCATTGTAGTCAGTTTTCATGACTCAAGAGGTGGAGATTGTAAAAAGAGGTGTGTAATAGTTCGGGTATGCTTAGGGTAGTGCAACGTCTAAATACAACTATAAATCAGGGTGCAGCTTTTTGCAAAATATAAATTCTGCTCTGACAATTTAACCACAATATCACCCAATTTTTGCAGGTATTTATAAAAAAAATTGAGCTTCCGTACCTCTCTGATAATTTGAGCCTATGGTACTTTAACGTTCAGCATTTTATTTTCCAGTCTCTTCCTAGCTGTTAAAAGATGGCTGGTGTTACCAATAGGCCATTTATCAAGGTTACTCTTACACTTTGGTTCATTTCAGAATAGCAGGCACTCTAAAGGAAGTGCCTTGAGACATTTTGTAAAGCAAAATTGTTTGCCGTTTCTGTACATATTATCCCTGTACAGCTTTGGTTTGTCATTAGATCTATACAAGCCCATACATTTATAAGGTCTTTTGCATGCAGTTGCCTGAAGGATTGTGGAAGACTCATAAAAATTCATAGAATGGCATCTCTTTTTTTTTTCCTTGGTAGAGCAGTCATTCTAATTTCTCCTGAACTGTCGTGAGAATGGGAATTCACTAATGACCAGTATAAAAGCTTGATGGTAAATATTCATCTAACCTATTTATTGTGCCTGCGGGGACTTTATATGCTAAATAGGTACTGCCTCCGCAAATCTTCTGTCACACCTCATGTCAGGCTCACAAAATGTATGTTTGGACTTTGATGTTATATCAATATGTATACCTCTGATCTGGGTATTCATTTCAAAGGCAGATCAGGGCAAGAAAAGTATTAGAAGCAAGGTGGCTAATGTGCCTACTGATGTTATGGCCATGTGAACCTTTTTTTCCCGCATTTGCTACTATCTGTGAAGGCATTTCTGGCTACCTAAATGTGAACTCCTGACCGATAAATACACAGTTGAAAAATCTACATGCGAGTCATTTCTCCTAGCAAAGAGTTTGTAATTCTGTTTAGTCAGTCTTGTGACCTAGCCTCCCCTGCCAGACAGCATAACTAGGTCTTGGATCTCCCTACTGTAACTAAATACATCTTGGTATAAAAATGGCAACACACCACTGGCAACACACCACTGTCTGAGTGGCCAAGTGTGCTGACCTTCTCTTCAGGTTGTAAAGATGCTCTCCAGGAGATTACAGGAGACAGATTCATTTGCTTTGATAGTTTCATGTAAACATGCATGTAAAAACATTTAATAACTTGATTAGAGCTACCTTTTTAAATCTATCAGTAATTTAGCTTCCATGGTACCATCGGGGAAGAAATTATTGGGCCTCTTTTTAACATTTTAAGCACTAACAATGTAACATACTGTTGGGGTGCACACACATGAGCATCAGAGTCCTTACAATGTAAAATACTGGGGAATCCCCCTCCTCCCCACCAGGGAGCCACAGGTGTTGCGTACAGCCTCCCATAGAAGTCAATGGCTGTACATGCATACAGCTGCGTGCAAGTACCGGTGTATAGCTATGTACTGTTATTTACTTCTATGGAAGGCAGTATGGAACACTGGCTCACTGGCAAGAGGGAATATGCCAGTATTTACTTTGTACAGGCTCAGCTGCCCTTGTGCATGAGCCCCTAAAGTGATCAGCACCAGAAGGATCAATGACCGGACTACAACCTGATTGGATTTATTGTTGCAGCAGAGAACTCCTGTGGTCCTTTACTGGTTAAAGCATTGGTGCAGGTCCTTTACTGGTTAAAGCGTTGGTGCAGGTCCTAAAATATACCAAGAAATGCCCAGCTTTAACCAAAAGTTTACAGCCTAAGGTGGTACACTTAGACATTTGGTGACCTATGTCAAGTACCTTGATTTCAGCAGGGTCAGATGATAAGCAATCTGGTACCTTTTGAGTGCAGCTAATGACATGGAGTTTTCTGTCAGTGAAAACATGATCTGCTGGCTTGAAATGTTTCAGCTGATAGCTTATTGTTCCTTTTCAGTGCATATATTTGTGACTCTCAGATGACGGGTTGTTTGGTGGTCAGATCGTATTGCTAACACACAGACAATGCCTGCCTGTTGCCAGGTTAGAGATACTGTGATGGTTTTGAAAAATGACATATGTCTGTCATGAGCATTTATACAGCATGGTTTGTTTTTTGTAAGTCCTGCCAGTAATGTAGTTTTATTACCTATAAAACCTGCCAGCAGATCAGTTATTCTTCCACTTCTTGTAACAGAGTCCACTGTTAAGCAGAAGTAGCTATAGACATATGGAGCAATGTCACACATCCAAGCCTGTATGAAGATACTCCACCTCTGGAACTGCAGGTGCCAACCAAAGGGAGCCTGACCACGCTCTATGAACTCAACAGTAAAGCAGGAAGTTACACACCAGTGACATCAGATCACTTCAAATGTATTGAATGTGGACATCTCTGCGATCAAACCCATTGGGTGAAATGTTAGAGGGGCAGTTCTAGAAAGGGCCGCAGTGTGTCATGTCCAATTTTAATAAAGTTGGATGCGATCTGATGTCATTGGTATGTGACTTCCTGCTAAGTAGAAGTTGCAGGAAGTTCCAGTTATAGTATCTAAATGGTCAGAGCGGCGGTCAGTCAACCAGCAGACTGCATGGACTACAGTGGAATGGATAAAAGCACAACTGCTGGTAGTTCATGCAAGAGGGTGATAACTGTCCTACAGCACTAGGAACTGGTGGTCACACTGTTAAAGAACTTAGAGCAGAAACTAAGAGGATCAACAGGTATTTATCGGTTAGTCACAATATGTAATATAAACAAACTTGCACAACCACATTTACAAGGTGGAAAGGTTGCGAATACATTAGTATTTGGGTTTTAAAAACGTAGTTTTAAAGAGATGTTGAATGTTTATTTTCTAATATAAATCTTTATTTTACAAAGGAAACATTGAAAGCCTATCTTCAGCTTTAAGGGGCATGCCTCAGCTGTGTGTGTAAGTTGAGCTGTTGAGCTTTGTAAACCATTCTTTTTTTCAACAAAGCAATTAAGATTAGCCTGGTAAACATTAGATGGAGCAAAAAGATCCACCTGCTGGCTGGAAATAAATATGAAATGTACATTTTTATTTTATATTTACCATATTTCTTTTGGAATATCAAATATACAAAAGCATTGTACATTTCTTTTAATATGCCAAATATTTTTTTTAAAGGCAGTTTGTGGCACTTGAATGTGTCTCAGAACAAAACCCTGTTATATTTTAGATGGTTTCCTATAAGACCGTGCATCTAGCTGTATTCTCCCACTCCCAGTAGTACCATAGTACCAGGGAGACCTTCGATTTTGAAAGATATACCTTGCAAAGTTCTCTGCCAGATGTTGAATGTGATACACCTGATCACAGCATCTGCCTACCTTGTAAGTGACAAGTGAATGAAGAGTATTTTTTCCAGTACATCAGCAGCTTTATGGCCCGTAACTTATAAAAGGCAATGCTTTGATGCAGCAATGTATTTAACTGTTTAGTACCTGTTAGAGACTAAAGCACTTAGATAGAAAATGACACTTTTTGCACATTATTGTATTTAATATGTAACAGTGGTGACACCTAATCTGCAGGAAGAATAGAGATGTTGCCCATTGCATTCAGTCACTGCACTGGGATAACTAGCCAAGGGATCTGCTTGCTAAGGACAACAGCTGCTTGTCATAGTTTTTGTAAATCAGCCACTAATTATGTGTGTGCTTGGCAGTTCAGATATGTGCTAAAGCGGATCTTTACACTGCGGTATTGAATTTGTAAAAACAAAAGCATTCACATAACCAAAATTCATTGTGGCAATGCAGCAAGCGTCCATGTTTGCTGTGGGAAAACCCGCTTCTTCAGTGCCCTCTTTCGTCATCCAGGGAAAAGCAAAAAAAAACAACCCAAAAAGGCTCCGACAGCTCGCAGCCATTTTCCTTTTTATATTTTTCTTGAACGAGATCTCATTTCAGTGACGAAGCAATCCCAGGATGCATTGTGTTGGCAAACTGAACTACTTTGCACCTGGAAAGCAGGAAGTGAAGGCTCTGCAAGTGTAAGTATTTAAATAAAACAGCATTTTACACCTGACAAGTCTGTTATTAATCAGCATAGATAGAGGAATGCATTGGTGGGATTTGAATTTAGCGTGTAAAGGTCTGCTATAAGCATGGTAAACATGGCTACCAATAAAAAAAAAAGAAAGCATAACTGTTAGATGGCTAATCAAACGTCTGCCATTGTTCCTGAGACTTGATTGACCCATGCTGGTTGTACACACTGTACAACCAGCATAGGTCTATCGAGTCTCGGGAACAACTCGGGATCGTTCGAGTGCTGTGAAAGGCTGCTTAGACACAGGGTGGTATCTGTTATGGTCACCCTTGCCCTATACACTGCCTGGCTGTGTTTCTTTTAGGTTTGGATGACAAATATTGGACAGTTAATGTCTAGATGTTGTTGGTCCTTTCATAGTTGTGGCACCTGCGCAAATACAATACCAGTTTCAGCAATCGCCATGCTAGGAGGTGCTTTGCCTCTGTGTAGAAGCTTCCTGTAATAAAGGCCAGTCACTGCTGCTCTTCTCGCCTTTTATGTAGGGTAACTGGTCTGGTCTCCACCCCCTCCTGTAGTTTTCTCACGCTGCCTGTAGTGGGTGGGGCCTGCTCAATCCGTCTCACAACTTTGCTCTCTGCACAGACTACAACACAGCGATGATGCTATTTTTACAAGATATCTGGCTATACAAAGGCACATGAAGTGGATGTATATCCTTTGTGGCTATTGAATATATTTAAATGAAAGCTTTTGTGCCCAGAGTTGAGCTTTAAATTGTATTACCAAAAACAAAATGCATATTTGAGAAGACTCAGATGGTAGCTACCTTTCTTGACTTTTTGGAATTATCATTAATTTAGGGACGGCTTCTACCAGATACTTCTGAGACATGTATTTAGCTTGAAAGATGATTCCATTTAAGAGCAATTTTGTATGCATTAGTCTTATGTTGTCTTTGTTGTACAGGTGTCTTTTAAGCCTGCTAAGAGGCTTATAATACGCAAATTACAGCATGAAGCCTGTAGAAAATAATAGACCTTTTAACTTCTGAATATGCAATAGTCACTCTCCAGATTTTACTAGTATGTTTTAACACGAAGAATGTGGCTTAAAGCTGAACTGCTAGCAAACAATGAATACACTGATTTAAATAAGTTTATGAAAGTCATTTGAACGTCCAAAGGCATTGTAATCTTCATCCAGTCCTGAGATTATGGAGGCTGGCCAGACAGCCAAGGCAAGTTGGTTGACATGACTCTTTTTTTCCATGCTACAGTTAAGCAACATGGCAAGGTAGGTGACTTGCCTGCGATTGGGTAGTGAAGAAGCAGGAACAGACTGATAAGTCATCTTTCCTTTTTCCTCCTGTCAGCATTTCTCATCCCATTTGATTGTAGCAGAATTGGGTTAGCTCATATTTCTGGCTCTTTGTGCGACTATAAAGAAATTACAAGAGGCTGATATCAGGACAGATTCAGGGTACATACACGTTTCATTTCAATTTGATTTACTTTTATTATTGAATACACAACTCCATTTAAATGGTCTTTTTCTGCCTAAAGTTTAGCTTTAATATTGAAAAAGATTCTGTCACAATAGGGAATGAATATGCAATAATTGATGTCTTCAAGAGATTTCTCTATTGCCTGTAGCTTTCCAAAATTATATATGGATTTTGCATTTTTCCTATTGCTTCACTGATATCCCTTAGGACAGTGGTGGACTACAGAGGCTACAAACCTAATACAGGAGATGGTCAGAGAGTACAAGCATGGTATAAAACATGGCCAGAGACTGCAGGCATGCTTTGTGGAAATGGTCAGACTGTAGGCATGCTATGCCAATTGGGGACTGGGCACCTTCTTAAGACAGTCAGTGATTGGAGATGCATTACATGTGTGCCAGAGATCACTTCTGTTTACAGCCCTTTCACAAATCAATACCTCAATATTTGCGCTTGCTACAGCCCCCTTATAAATGACCTGTGCCACATGTAATATTTCTCTCAGCAAGATCCAAAGATCAGAGGGAAAAAAAATCATAAAAAGAAAAGAGGAAGCACTGTAAAAGAGTAAGGTAGTGTAAGAGTGATTAAACCATTGAATTACTAGAACCCAGTATAAAGAATCTTTTCCTTCACTATCTTGAGTAACAAACACAACTAGTGTCTGCTGAGGACCCAAGGGTCGCTTAAGTGCCAAAGGGAATATGTAGGCGTCTAATACTGACCTATTTAACAAATGACTAATTAGCTGCCTTGCTTTGAATCGCTGACCAGAAAATGATATGCAGATAAGGACTTCCAAGCAATCTCAGAATGTCTTGAACTACATACTTCTGTGCTGGTGACTCAAAGTATTTATGCTGGTGGGTCGGAAAAACCATGCAACTTGCTTTTGTAATTTGCAAGATGTTTCATGTACTTGAGAAAAGTAGGTCACTATGAGGTATAAACTCTTGTGATTGCTGGTTCTGGTCCTCCAGCTCCCTTGCCCCACTTAGAGAAGCTCTCCTGGTTTCCTGGAATACCTTTTTTGTTTATAATAGAGGCTGCATTTAAGTTTTTGGTGTGCCGCCATCCTTAATGCACCCTTTGGGCAAAGATTTGTGGAGCAACCTGCAGCACCGCTGCATTTTCGCCTCCCTTGCCTTACTATTGGTCCATTATTCTGAGCGATCTTAACAAGCCATCAGGCCCTTTTTACACGGGCTGATCAGAAGAGGATCTGTGCAGGTATCCTCTAATGATCACAGCAGTACGGAGCTGATGTCACCGCTGTGACATGTGTCTGTACAATTTTTTTCTCAACCTTGCGATGCAGGAAAAAACAAACTGCTGGACCCCATGTTGGTCTATGGGTAATCTGATGTAAACAGACATGTTTGTTTACATTGGATTACCCCTGGTATGGCACAATCTGGTCTGGCGAAAAGGATCTCTGATCACTCTGTTTCTCTGGACCCAGCCAGAGGCAGGGGCAACCAGGTGTGAGTCCATGGGCAGTCCGTTTACACACGACTGCCCATAGACTTACTTTGGACATCCGATCGGGTCCGCCTGAAAAACTGACAAGTGGACCCGATCAGACCCCCCGTGTGAAAGGGGCCTAATAAAACCAGAAAAAAAAAACCACAAAACTATTTTTTTTCATCATTGGCACACCCCACTTTTTTCTGGGAATTCAGGACACACTGCCACAGAGCATATGCATACAAACTGGAAGCATCTATTGTGTACTTGATGTTTTGTTTTATCCAACCTCATACTCAGTCTAAGGTGTTAACGCTGAACTCCAGGCATATATAAAAACCACCAATTAATGCAGATAGTTCTTTCATTCAGGGCTGAACAGGTCCCGAGACCCAAGCTGCCAATTGTCTTTAAAATTACAACTGGTGCCTAACTTGACGTTTTCTCTAGTTGTCAGTGGAGATGGCTCCTAAAAAAAAAGAAACCTGCCGGCTCCTGGAGTGCACAGACTGGTTTCTGAATTCCATATTAATTTGTCCACCCCTATGCGCTACGGATACACATTTACTATACCCTGAAGTGTCGCATGAAAATTATTATTTCGGTTGAGAAATTTGTTAGTGCATATAAAAAGATCTTTCATACGGAAGTTTTTTTTTTATCCAAGGAATCAACCAAGTCTGGCCAGAACGGTCTTGAATCTATGGGTAATGTAAGAAAGCATAGTGTCTACATACTACCCTTTAAGTTTCATTCCTACAAAAGATGCAGCATTCCTCATATTTGAACAGATTTCATTGTGGCCATATTTTCTGCTTTGCAGTTTTTATGCTCGCAGGTAATAAAAAGAGATGAGATTGGCTTCTTGGGAATCTTCTGTTAAGTGGAGATAAATGGTTTGAGCCGGTTTCGGAATGACTTTACAGTATGGAAGACATGGCTTTATAGGATATTGCACTGCTTCCGCTGACATTAACATTAAATTTTTTTTTTTTCTTTGTGCCTCCAATAAGATGTTAATACTGAACTGTCCTTGTTCTTAGTTACTTTGTCACTATCTCACATTGCCTTGCTTGTTTCTCAAAATTTTAGAAGCGTAAAGAGCAAATGAAACCTAAATTAATAGAGGTCTGCATCAGCTTTTCCATCCTGCCCATTCTAGAGGCAGGTGGATATCTATGAGACATGGCGGTTTTATTGCGCTTTTACATGGTGCAGTTGTTTCTGCTTGAAATCTGATTTGTAACCTTGTTCAGATGTACTCTAGTCACAATTGATCTTGCAGTACAGCTTTTTTTTTCCTGGCATTATCCTTGGAGCAAGTTAAGTTCTCTTGTGCTTGTTTCTCAGCCCATGGTTGCCTATTTATATTGTTTGTATCACTGTCCTAGATACTCTTATTCAGTGTGAATTTTTCATGAATTGTGTTTGTGCACCCCTCCGGCTCCTTGAAATCCATTTACTATTCCTCCTGCTTCCTAATTTAAGGAATAATCTTGCCTTATAAAAATCAACCGTGACACCAACCTATCTGAAATAGGTTTTCAGCATATACATTATTCATAGGCGCAGGAGATGCCTATTCTAAATCGAAAGTATTACTAATTGCTGAAAATGTTTGTCACAAGGCACCCAATTATCTTTAGCTAGCTATGTGAAATGGCTGTCTTGCCCCTTTTGTTACCCATTACTTTGTGGTAGAATAGGGATGATCTATTTGGACATATATTGCTGCCACAGTATGATACGGTATGTTCAATTTATTGAAATAATTTAAAGTGAAATGGCAGGTAAACAGCTAATACACAGTTGAAATTCAGAAATGATTACGGTTTTACCTGCCAATAGAATCCTAATGCTGTACAGACCGTGGTTTACACACATTTTCCATGCTGCATACCAAAACAGAAGATGCAAGTAGCTCCTTGTTAAAGGATAACTATGAGGTGAGTGATTTTCACTCAGCCTCATAGTTCTAGCCGACCTGTGACAATGAAACTGACACAGGTCGGCTCAGTAGATCGGGAAGTGAGCCAACACATACCGGCGTTCGCTCACTTCTCGATCCTGTCACGGCTCTCTGCTGTGACGGGAGGGGCTGGATTCCCCCCTCCCTGCTCCGACCCTCC